GCGTGATCTTTGATCAGCTCCGCGATGTGCCGATAGAACAGATCCTCGTTGCGCTTGACCCTGGAATAGACCAGTCGGTCGTCGTCGAGTCTCGCGTGCAGCTTGTCCAATCGACACCTGGCACAAAACAAAAAAAAAACCATAACTAGTCGCAGATTTTCGCAAAATTAAATTACATCGTACCCGAGCACTTTGAATTTGCCGACGATGAAGATGATCATGAATATGAAGGCTCCGGTGCAGGCGTTGATGCACAGCGTCATGGCCACGGCGTAGTTGATCAGAATGAAGAGCAGCGCGAGCAGATGGTCCTCGTTCTCGAAGCCCGCGTACGCCTGGGTGATGACGATCGGCTCGAAGCTGGCGTTGCCCTGCACGAGGTAATTCAGCAGGTAGGGCACTGCGACGGGATAGACGATGGCCGCCGGTATGATGACCATGAATAAACCTGCGTCATTGCGAACAGATTCGTCGATCGTAAGCATTATGCATACGTGTACGGTCGAGCCTATGCAATTTATAAACCTCCCCAATTTCATGAAAATTGAGACAATTCTTGTTTAAAGAGACGCTAATAACTATTAACTTCGGCTTGTGAAATAATTTTAGTCTAATTAATGGTTCAGTTCAGTTCATGAACGATTATAAAAGAAAAAGAGCAATCCAAAGTTACCTTGTTTTTTGACAAAAATTAATATCAACACAATGCGTCTAATGGCAATAATTAATATTTAATTATTTTTTTTTACAGAAACCTCTCTATTTCAAATTTGATTCCTCCAAGACCTCGAAAAACTAAATTTAAAAACTCTGTATTTCATTGATACAGTAGGGGAAAGCGGGGCACGTAGACTCACCTAACTAAAATGCTCAATATAAAGTTTGTAATAAGAATAAATGAAAATTTAAACAGACCAATATCAAGATGAGAAGTCAATGAATACAATGCAATAGTCAAAAGTCATAATTTTTGCATATTAATTAAATGACAACCAAAATAAAGGAAGCGTTGAAATCAGTGCTTCTTGCCCCAGCGTGGGTAAGAGTAACTGGGGTGCGGGGCAAGAAGAGCGCACTAGAGAAGTAGGTTGCTCATGCTTGATACTGTCTGCGCGCACATTGTTAATAGACGTAATTTGTTTATGAACTGAAAAATTATGAAAAAAGTTGAATACATAAACATGTAAGTGTAAATTTTTAGCTATGATTCAAATTTTTACAACACAAAATCTCTAAAATATTCAAAAAATTTTTTATTCGAAAAAAATCGAGTTTAGAGGATAATCCTCGAAATTTTCTGAGATGACCTTAGAAAATTAGATTTTCCGTAATTTCGGGAAATAAACAATCTTCTCCAAAAATATTGAAAAAATTTACGGATGTTTTTTAATTAATTATACAACTTATTCGTTCTATTTATTACTCAAATCAATCGTTTTTGCGATAAAAAATAATTGGATTTTTTTGTATAAACAATTAACTTCGGGAATGCCGTTTTGCTAGAAAAAGCTAATTTGAAAGTCTGTGAAAATTTCTGAGATACAATTACACTATGACAAACTTTGATCATATTTATGGAATTTTTCATCGTAAAACTTTGAAAATCATTTTCAGTTTAAGTTTTGCAGAAATTTTTACTGCTTGTTTTGTTTAGATATTCATAGCTTTTTTACTACGTTTTTAATCCTAAATCTGAACCCGGATTCGAAAAAGGCATTGAATTTCATACTATCATTGTGAAATTAATCGTTTTTGTATTGAGTTAATAATTGCGATCGGCGACGAGCAAAACAACAACACGGTAAAATGAGGTTAAGTTTGAACGAAAAGTCAGCAGACCGCCGTCACGAATCGTCGCAATGCCTGGCGTACCGCGACACTAATGCCCCGCTTCAGGCGCTACTCTTGCCCCATTAAGACATGTTTTTAAAAATTAAATATTTCATAAAATATTGCGTTTAATGAAATTTTGAAAAAAGCCTTTTCATCGGGAAGACATGACTGTTCTTATGAAAAAAAAGCGGTAGCATAAAAATCATTATCAAAAAAGATACAGAAGTGTGAAATAAGAAATTTTTGTAATAATTTTAGCGTATTTTTGTTTCGAGTTAAAATTAATAAAATAAACTTTTTTTGCGTCGTTTTTGCATGCAATCGATAGTTACAAGTATATTTCAACAATAAGTGGGGAAAAAATTTATTTAAAAAATCATTATCATTGAAAAAAACAAGAAGTCGTATTACCCCGCAAGTTACACTTGCCCCGCTCTCCCCTATATCTAATTCACAATTTTCACGAATTTCTGTAAAATTTTAATCAAATTTTACTTTTAATTGGTCGAGGTACGACGGCTTACGAACCGAGGTAGATCATGGCCAATTTGTAGTAGAACATGGCGAAATCCATGAACACGTCGGCCTCCTCGGAGTCGAGTATACTCTGGCAATCGGTCACCACAGTGTCTAAAAAGCCCTTCATTCTCTTCAGAATCGGCTGGAAGAGGACGTAGAGCAGGCCGGTGCACAGTACCGTCGACGTCTCGAACATCGAGTCGGACGCCGTCTCCACGGTCATGTCGTGCCTCGCGCGATACAGGCCTGCAAACTGCGCACAGAGTTTTATTATTATTATTATAAACTGAGCAAGGTATCTGTCCCACTTTTTTGGTCAGTCAAGTTCGATCTATTTTCGATCAATTTTGAATTCACTTTTAATATGTAAATGATTAAAGAACATCATAACACAAAGGTTCGGGAAGTACGAGGCAGGTAAAATGCCGTGCTCTTACTTATACAATTACTATTGCTCTACCGCTTGCAGATTTACAGATAAGGTCAAATCTCAAAATGAAATTCCGTTTCGTTAACAAAAAAAGGTGAAATTTTTTTTGCGTGCCCAGCGGCCCTGACCCCCGCAAATTGTTCATAGGACCTCCAGAAGTGAAAAAAAACGCGTAAACATGAAATTTGACAATAGTTAAATTTTTTTGGGGCACTTTTGTGTTTTAGACTCCGAAAAGTCATCTTTTCACGCAAATACGACTTACGGCTCAAAAAATAAATGAAGTTATGCTTTCGATAGGAAATTTCCTCAGCTTTCTCATGGTGCAGTTAGATTTTCCAAAAAATTTCATTTTCTCAAGGAAAAATCGAAAATGATCCAAAAAGTTCACTTTTTCCTTACTGAATTTTTCGACATATTTAGCCCTCAATGTTTGATGGCGATTTTCGCGGTGGAAATTGGATATTTCCGAAAATCAAATAGTACCATCGGAAAGCTGAGGAAATTTCCTATCGAATACAGTGGTCAGTTAAAATTTTTAGATGAGTTTTAATAGTTTTTCAACGACTTAGAAATCGAGCAATAAGTCGTATTTGCGTGAAAAGATGACTTTTCGGAGTCTAAAACACAAAAGTGCCCCAAAAAAATTTAACTATTGTCAAATTTCATGTTCACGCGTTTTTTTTCACTTCTGGAGGTCCTATGAACAATTTGCGGGGGTCAGGGCCGCTGGGCACGCAAAAAAAATTTCACCTTTTTTTGTTAACGAAACGGAATTTTATTTTGAGATTTGACCATAAATGTGCACTCACCATCTAGCGGTAACGGATGGCTTTAATTTTGATTAAATATTCATACATTTTTTGAGCAACTAAAGCAAAACATAAATCATTATTAAAGCGTTAATTTTCAAGCAAACTTTTTAAGTTTGATTATAGAACTGAAACTCTTATGTTCATTTTCGCATTATTACAATTATTAATCTTCGTGCGTGTAATTCCATTTTTGCTTATTTAAAAAAAAATAAATCAGCCCTGTCAAGTTATGAGACTATTTGCTTGGAATTCAAAATTTTTTAAAACTGCGTACAATTGAACAGTTGATGTCATTTATCGACTGGAAAATTTCGAGAGAAAAAAAAAACTAGGGCACCCGCGCTTACTTCCGCGGCAGCGATGAAGACGAAAACGACGCTGAACCACACCTTGGCCGCCGACTTGACGTGGGGACTCTGGTCCAGCCAGAAGCCCGCCAATTCCAGATACCTTTTAAAGCCGTAAAAATGCTTATCGAGGAAATCGTTGATCTGATGCATCGGCAGGCCACTTGAGGCCTCTTTGCCGATTTTCCTGCTGCGTTTTCTACATGGCAAATCGTGTTCGATCGTAAAAAATGTTTTCGGAAAAAATGACGAATAGTTTTTTTCTGAACTTACGTACGAGCCATTGGATTAACTTGGGATTTTATGGTTTATAGTTTGCTTCCCCAATCGGACTACGACGAAATGTAGTTTACGAAGAACTCGACCGACCCGTGCACGACCTGATGTAATTTTCATGATTACGATAGCGAAGAAACTTTGAATTAAGCATTACGACTTCCCGACTAAAATTTATTCATGGCGCCGTTGAATGATTAATTATGACGGCTCGCATAAAACAATTATGCAAATTCGAACGAACGCATCTTACGTTATATACTTACTGTAAATTAGTTTGTAGGGCAGGTATCACAAAGTTTCAAAGTTTCCAAGAGACTGTAGAGCTTGAGAAGTAATGAAAAATTAACGCCCAACGTAATTGAATTAATTATTTCATTTTGATATTTAATCGCTTGGTGAGTTACGAAAATGTAAGTAATGTTTTTGGGCTCATTGATTTTTTCAACCATTTTCAAAAATATCGAATTTACCATAACGATACACATTGTTTACAGCGATAAATGCATCGACGGTATTATAATGCAAAAAAAGAGAGAAAAAGCAAGAAATAATAGAACAGATAGTTGTCGCGCGCATTTGTCTATAAGAAAACAATAATCATAAATAATTGACTGTCGAATTATCGCATTGAGATAATGGCAGTTTCGATCAAGTTGTCACCACCCCTCGCTCCCCTCGCTCCCCTCGCTCCCCTCGCGCAAGCCTTCATTATGTACTTATATCGAACCACAGCGTAAAAGAAACACTCTTAAATTTTTTCTCTCTCTCCTCATCGACATGACGAAAGATCCACGAGCAAGCGATATTCAACGTAGAAATCGTCAAGGTTCTCCCGAAAAATTTCCAAACACTCGAATCGTATATATCGATAGGTATATAGAAAAATCGTGTAATAATTTCGACAGATTTCGAATGGGCGTTCGGCCTGAATCGTTTCGTCTTCGGTCTAATGGGCGTGTGGCCGAAAAAACGGCCCAACGACGACAGCAACAGCAACAGCTCGTTCATGTCCACGAACGTCCTCGTGATTCCCGGCATGATCGTCCTGCTGGTGGGGGGCCTGATCGCGCCGCAGATGTACGCCCTCAGCAGGATCTACGACGACTTCACCCTCGTCATCGATAATCTCACCACCGTCAATCCGTGCGTCTGTGCCGTCATGATGCTCTACTTTCTCTGGTCGAATCGCGACTGTACGTTTGTCGTAACCTCGTGAAATTGTTTCGAGTATAACGCTGACAAAATAACACTGTAATGGCGAACGGAGAGCTTCTTACTCGCGACGACCTATTCGCGGATACTCGCACGTTCTCGAGTTTATCGTCTCGTCATAATTCGAGCAAGGCCCGCTCTGATTGGTGGAGAGACTGTTTACACACGATGATGTTTAGTTATATATAGCAGCGCCACAGCAGTTTGAGTGCGGTTCACTCGTTCGCCGTTTCAGTGCAGTATTTGATAGTACGTGCTGCGTCCAATATCTATAGTGCCAACTTGAAATCTTCATTTATGGATCGAAGGACGCCATCTACATTCGAAACTTTTTGTAAAGCTTTAGTTTAGGTCTTCATCAAGAGGTGTCGTATCTCCTAACTTGCAGGAACGCATAATTTTTTGATTATTATTCCATCATACATGGTAAAATTGCTAATAATTGACTCGACCACTTATTAGAAGTATGCCTATCGTTAAAAATATTTTTTTTTTTTGAAATACCTTTTGATAACAACAAACGTAACCTTTCGAAACTATATACTTACTCAGCTTAAAAATTTTGAAGCACAAAGAGACGCTGACTTTAGCATAGCATTATACATAAACATGTTCTTAAAACATGAATTGAATATTTTTACCTGGAAATTTTTAAATTTTTTTGCAGGTTGTCGAATACTAGATGGCCTATTTTGAATAAATATTCGACCAAAATAGAATTTTCGACAATATAAAAAAACGATTTGATAATTTATGAGCGCAGCTAAAAATGGTCTCTGAAAATACGATGCTCAAAGAAGAGAAATTAACGTTCATTGCATTTAATTAAATTATATTTCATTTATTCAATGCAAAATTTAATGCGAACCCGTACGAAATACACACAGCGGTTGCAAGGATCACCAAGATCATCGAGCTCGACTGGCTGCGCGACGTCCAACGAAGCCCCGGCGAGCGCCTCACGATGCTGCGCTACGCCGGCTACGGGCGCACCTTCACGCTCTCGGGCTGCTTCATCACGATCTTCGCCGTGCTCTGCTTCGTCGTCACCCCCTTTCTCGGTCTCAGCTTCCGGCTGATCAACAATCGCACGGACCAGGTCGGCCGGCGCAGGATTCATCTGCCCCTGCAGTCGGTCTATCCGGGCGATTACCTGCGGTCGCCCTACTACGAGCTGTGCTACGCCGCGCAGATGCTCGGCGGCTGCATCGTCGGCATGACGATCGCGGCGACGGACAACTTTTTCGCCGCGCTGACGTTTCACGCGAGCGCCCGATGCCGAGTGCTGGCCGAGAGGATGGCCGGCCTCGCGCTCATCGGGATCGCCCGGGAGGAGGAATTTTTTCGTGCTTTGGGAGCGTCGATACGCGAGCACGTGAGAATCATAAGGTGTGATCGAGTCGTGGTCGACGACGACGCGCCGGTAATTGATCGATGCGAAGCTCCTATACGTCTTGTATTTTTTTTTTAGACTCGTGCGGACGATCGAGAGGATCTTCAACCAATTGCTCCTGACGAAGCTCATCTGCATGCCACTCGTCGTCTGCTTCGTGGGACTCGAACTGATAGGCGTGAGCAATCGGAATTTTTTTAAAATCGAGATCGAGCGAGAGATATCGAAATACGAGTCGATTTTTGCTCAGAATTTTTTATCGCCGTCAGAAACCCTGAAATTTCTAACTGTGATTTGACTTATACAATTATTTCGAATTTACCACTTGCAGATTCACAGATACAGAGGTACTCGCCATCTATTGGTGGAAGTTCAAAGTGATTTTAATGTTCATTTCAAGTGATTTATAACTGGTCGAAAATTTTTAAAATGCGAGCCAAATATTATTTTTAACATACTTATTAGGGTGGTTCGCTTTTGCAAAAATGTTCCAAATCGCATATACGTCATGGCGATTCTGAAAGTTCAAGTCTTTACGAAAAGAAAGCCGGGTTCAGAACCTAAAAAAAGTGTCGGGAACCGGTGTCGATCGATTTTTGAAGTTTAAAAACGTGGTCCAAAATAGGAGCAAAATCGGTCAACCATTCAATTTATTTCAAACTGTGTTTCGAGAGCAAAAATAATATCGACAATACATTTTCTTACGTATTTTTGTCTGTAGAATCGAATGCCGTAGTCAGTTTTGCTCTACGACTTCGTTTTCATCGATAAAAATGTACTTTTTTGATTTTTTTTTCGCTTGAAAATCCAAAAATCGACTTTGCAACGTTTAAAAATGAACAGAAAAAATCTTCGAAAATTTTTGACACTACCAAAATTTAGGATTTTTTGTGACGAATCCAACCGTATGAATTAGTATATGCTTTAAAATTATTTTCATTCATAAAAATGCAAATTTTCGATTTTTTTTGGCTGAATTTGACGAAAAATCTCGAAAAATCTCGTCTTTTTACGAGCGAACGATGCATGTATGTACGTACATTTACTTTCTAAAACTTCAAACACGTTTTTCTCAAAACTATGCTTTCAGAATCGGGAGTCAAGATATTTCAAAAAGTACTACATTTAGAGATACGCTTGTTTTTAATTTGAAGCTAATTTAATTGTCTGGAGCTTGAATCTATACAATTTTTAATTTTTTCATTATATTTTTTAGAGCCTAAAAAGGGCAAAAAAAATTTTTTCCCCGAAGTCCGCCATTTTATTAGTTTTTAATTTTTTTGCAATTATTTAGGTTCAAGCTCCAGCAAATGTCATCTAGTTTAAGAGGAACTTCAGATTTTTAGATTCGGACAAAAACTCAAGGCGCTAGCTTGGCTCCCGTTGAGGTATCTTCTTTTAACACGACCTCCTTTAAACGCGGCTTGGGGATACATAATTCGATATTTTGGTCTGAAAAAAGTTTTATATATAGTTAAAAACATATTTTATAAGTACCAAAAAACTTGCACTGCATTATTCACTTCCTTCCGTGAAAAAAAAATACGAAAAACACGTCATTTTAGAGGCGCTAGATGAGAGCCACCCCTAAACACGTTACCAGACTTATATATTCAAATCTAGCTCATATGGCTATTTTGTTACAGCTACTTAATAATTTTTTAATTACCTATTTTTTGGAGAAAAATAATAAACTTTGCCTGCCGACAGTCGTTTGGCAGCGAGAGCATCCGATTGACGACGCTGTTCGCTCAGGTCGGGGCTCTGGTCACGATGGTGTTTCACGCGTTAATCGACTGCGTCGCCTGCGAAGTACTCATGAGTTGTGTAAAGATCAGAATACATCCCTTTTTGCCTCTAATCAAAAATTATTTTATCGAATACCGACTCAGGCTTCGTTTCTTTTTTAATTTCTTAATTTTTTTTTCTTCCACAGAGTACGAACATCAGCCAAGCCGTTTACGATTCCGCGTGGTACGATTTACCCGCGCGCTATGCGAAATGCTTCATTCCGATTCTCATACAGCTCAAGTATCCGCTGAGACTTACGGCTGGTAAATTTTGCTTCATGAATTTGGTAACGTTCATGCGTGTGAGTAGATATTGCCTTTTAAAAGTTGATGTAATAATTTCCTCTCGTATGAACGATAATCTTGTTTTTTTATTTTTTTTTTTTGCTAAATATTAGATAATGAAGAGTTCGTTCGCGTACATGACTATGCTCTTGGCAGTGGGTTGGCACTGAATCACCGATACTTAATTGTTCGCTTTGTTTTATCTATCTATTAGTTAGAAAAAAATATGAGTATTTTTGTTGATCAATGAAATCTGCAGTTCGTTTTTATTTTCTCTCTCACCTTTTCTAGTTACTTGCTTAGTGCAATCTTAGACCCTTATTATTTTAAACATTTTTAGTTTTTAGCTCATATAACAAATACTTGTCAGACTTAAATTAAATTTACAAAAAACAACGAATTTAAAAAATTGTTGACTAATGCTCGAATTATTCTCTCACCCAAAAAAACTTGAACCCAAAGAATTATAACCATCGCTGGAAAGATTGATTTGCGCAAAATATGATTGTTAAAAACATGATTGTTAGTACAATTTTTTTTTTTTTAAATACGTAAAGAAAATCGAAATATTTATAAATTGATTTGCATTATAAATTTGGAACAAATCTTAAGAAATTAAAATCTACAAATACATTATTCTTCTTCTTCCGCGACTTGATGGCAATACGGTACTTTTTCGATAATTCCTTCTTGCTTAAAATCTTTATATTCAATGTATTTGAAAAGATTCCCGTTGTATTCCATGCCTGCCATGGCTTTGTTGATGAAATCCAGATATTCCGAGACTCTGGTGTATTTGGTCACCGTTCCGCACAATTCACGAGTCTTCGTGCTGGCGACACCGATCAGCGTGTTGGTCGATTCGTCGGTGAGTGGACCGCCACTGTCACCCTTGAATTCAAACGATCATTTGCGTGTAATTCGAATTCCAGCAAGATAAGAAAAATAAATAGATTCGATCGATGTACCTTGCACGGCCCCTGATCTGTTACGGTTTGGACGCAGACTTGTTTCTCCGTGCAGGGGGGATCATTCGATTCGTTGATCCTTCCGACGATGTACTTCAAACGTGGACTCATTTTTCCAAAAACTACCTGGCCCCCTTGCTTATCTTGAGAATAAATTCCAAAGCCACTCATGGTGGCGAGGCGCTTAGCCGGCGGCTTGTACTGATCGAACTTGGGTAAATTGACTGCTCGTATTCTTTCATCGGTGCCGAGAGGCAGCGGGCGTCTCAACTATTGTCAAATGTAAGATAATTTAATGTCAAATCGATGAGTTTCTCGTCAACGGATTCAAGTGCTTTAATCCATCGAGTCGCATGAGAACGTTTTTTCGACATTTTTTTCGGCCACTGTATTTTTGATGAAATTAGGGTAAAAAAATATGCGAATAAACAATTCTAATGTAAAATTCAATGTCTTTTCAAAATCAGGTCTCTTATCGGAAAAATAATTGGGTCAAAAGTTATACTTGATTTTATCCAAAAAAAACGTGCATAAATAGTTCTTTACGATACAAGTGCCATAAGTAACACTTTTTACACTGAAAAGTGTTTCCATGGCACGAGTATCGTACAACATTTTATAGCACTGCGTGGCATAAGTTCACATTTATGGCACGCTTGGCTATAAAAATAATTTATTTAATTTTTTGATTTTCCAAAAAGAAAAAATTTGAAATCTCACGGTTTTCATGCAAATATCGCGTTCTCGATACCTAAACTGAAAGTATCGTTGTTTATATTGAAGAAAATAAAGTCGGAACACGAAGAGATGAAAAAAAAAACGTTCAGAATTTTTAACTCGAAAAACGAAGAGCTACGGAATTGACTAAAGAATATTTGGGAATTTTTTCCGACAATTTTTTTGGGGCGATCTTTTCATCGAGTGCTCTCTATTCTCGAAATAAATAATTAAATTATTGTTTAATTAAAATCACGATCTAACTTTTACATCGCCCTCGACTCACCCTCAAAAGTGCTATATCGTCATTTTCCTCTTGGGGAGCGTTCAAGAAGTAAGTGGGCGGCAGGTAGATGCGATCCACGTCGCGATAGATGCCGGAGCTCTTGTTGCGCAGATCCCTCGTACCGGCCACGATGGTGATCCTGGCGAAGTTGAAACTGGAATGGTCAGCGACGCAGTGGGCGGCCGTCAGAATGTGTCTCTCGTCGAGTATGCTGCCGCCGCAAAAATGAAGAGCGCAGCCAGTAGTGCCAGAGTAGTAGTCCCAGCTTTCGAGAGACACTTGATGCTTGAATCTTCCCGGTTGAGCGTGATGTCCGCCGACTATTCTCTGCACTATTCTCGCTGATACTGTAATTTTTTGGGAGAAAAGTATGTATGATTATTGAGGCGAGTTGGTGCTTATAAAAGACGAAAAAACTTACCATCGCTCACTGCACAACTCATGAGCAGTCCCAAAAACAAACACAGCAACGATTTTGTCAACATTTTGATCGAGCGTTATATATCAAAACTGATACGACTCAACACAGGCTTTGATCTGCACCATCAAAGCTTCGGAGTCGCTTTACTTCCAACGATCGTCAACTATTTATATATTTTTTTCGATTCAATTTTTGTCAAACGGTAAGATTCTTCAAAAATAAAGTGCAAATAAAATTAGAAAATACGAGCGTGAATAATTGCAATAAAATTTAAACAATGAAAGAACTTTTGAAATTTCACACATCTCATTGGGCTTTTCACAAAATATTTAACAATGACAATAGCACCCATCGTCTTCTTTCATCGGTTTTGATTGAAATATGATGTTTTTTTTCTGAAATTTTGCCGTAATTCTCATTAGATGTTTAACAATGAACAATAACGCCTATTGATAACTGTTATCAGTTTTGATTGCAATAAAAAGGTTTTAAATGTTACTGACTGGTAGTATATGAATGCATGAATCGATGAGAGTCATACTTAAACATATTTTATTGTTTTTGCATACATTGTCTGGAATCAAGTATAATAACACACCGAGACACAATTCGAAACGAAAAAAAATTAGGCTTATGACAAGTGCGAAAAAACATTTGAGTAGCCATCAAATATAAGAACACAAAATCCACAACGATTTTGCAAGTGATCAGTGCGAAAAGAAATTTGTGAAAAAATTAAGATTGATAACGCACCGAAAATTGGCACATAAAGATTTTGGAAATTTCTCATGTAACAAGTGCAAGAAGAAATTTGAAAACAAATCAACTTTACTTAAGCACATACAGAAATTCCATGAAGTTTTCAAAGATTAATTATATGAAATGTGCGCAAAGAGATTTGTAAGTTACCAGTGTTTACTCGCACATTTTTTTTTTTTTTTTTTTTTTTTTTTAGATAGAGAAATGCGTTACGCACCGTAAGGAGGTTGGAGTTGAAGTCAACCCCGAACCTCCCCGTGTGTGGGACTCGCCCTCAACCGATTTGCGTCGGTGAGGGAATACCCACTAAAACTCTATCTGCCCGAGCGATGGAAGTGCTCGGACGCGGCTTTATTTCGTGGTGCCGTCTTAGATGGTGGGAGACCACGTTCTCCAAAAGATGTGCGCGAGATGATGTCAAGGCTACCCTATGCCTTCTCTTCGACCTGCAGAGTTAATACCTGTATAACCACTGATGTGCGTGGTCATTTTATTCCACCGGAGCCAATTCATGTACGAACCACGGAGAGCTCTAAACGTGATGGAATCCAAACATTTGCTCAATCCGAGTTCGCACAGACTCGCGGCGGAAGCAGCGGACCAGATACCCCGCCAGGAGATCGTGATCGAAGAGAACGAGATGTTATCGTTCTCGACCCCATACTCACTGGCGACCTGATGACGAATGTCAGGGGTATCATATTTAGCGACTTTCCGACGGTGCGAGTCGTCAAGGGACGATGAAGCGCTGATGACTTGCGCATCGATCACCTTGACAACCTGATCCTTTACAGCGACGATATCTGGCTTCCGCAAGCCTTCTCTGGTATGAAAGTGCGGCTCCTGCCGGACACTCCATCCCAACTGCCGGAGGCTACTGACTGCGATACGGCAAATTGCATCGTGTCGCAGTATTCGGCCTCCATGAGTGCGGTGACAGCCCTGAATGACGTGAGCTGCGGTTTCATTAGTACCACAGCCCGCTCGACACTCGATAGGCGGGCCACCGACTACGCGTCTGCCGCGTGATGTTCGAACGCGAGTTGGGAGAGTATTGACCCGTACGTGATGGAATTGTACATAGTCTCGTCCGGAGAGGGCCGCGCTGTTACGGTCTACCCACGAGTGGCTCGCACGAACACGAGCACACTCGGAGAGTTCCTTGCCATCATTCGCTTGATGGAGTAGCGAAGCCCAGTACTTGCCACGAGCCTCCTGGCCGATAAGAGGCCGCCCATGAAAGGACAGCGCCGTTTCGGCCCATCGGATCGAAGCCTGCACCGAGCGATGACAAAAGACACCTCTAACGGCGGCACAGGAAGACTCAGCCATATCCGAAAGCCTTGAATGAACCAAGGCCGGAATAGCTGTTCGGAAAGATGGAATTCCGAGTCCCCCGTCTAAACACCGCGCGTGGAAGTATCCAATGGGAACATCTTTTGGTAGCCGTAACCACTTGCGAACCGCAGCGCGTACTTGTCGGTCAAGACTCTTAAGAGTTTGAAGATGGCATCTCGACAAGACTAACTGGTGGTAAAATCGCGGCACGAGGAAGCAACGTAAGATCTTTAAACGCTGCTGGGGCTTTAGAGGAGCCGAGGCGATGTTAGCCAACTCCCGAACTAAAGTACCCCCGGGCTTCCGGATACCAAGGGGAGAAAAATGCACCCCAAGGTATCTAAAGTGCTCGGTAGGGCCAAGCTGACGAATAGGCCCTCCGCCAATCTGAAAGCTTTCAGCAGTCGACACTTTATATGTCTTCCGCTTAGTAGAAATCAAGATTGACATCGCGATGCACTTGGCCGCGTTGAACTGCAGACCATATTTGGAAGCCTCGTCCCCGGCGGTTCGCAACATTTCTTTCATACCCAATATTGACGAGCTAAAAAGCACGATATCGTCTGCGTACGCCAGTGCGTCGATCTTGTGCTCACCCAGATGGTATCCTACCGAAGAAGGCAGGGAAGTCAGAACCCGATCAACCACGAGAGAAAACAGGAGTGACGATAAAGGGTCGCCTTGACGAACACCTCTTGTCACCCTGATGGGTTCCGACTTCGAACGCTTAATGGTGAGCACAGTAGAGCTGCTCCTATATGTATCCTCGATATACCGGACGAAAGCAGATGGTAAGCCTAACCTTTTGAGTGTCGATGTTATCGCATGATGACTGACGCTGTCGAAGGCTTTTGCAACGTCGAGCGAAACGACGTGCAGTTCCTTCAACGATGACTTTGCGTCGCGGAGAATTGTGCTAAGCACAGTGATATTCTCCGCGCAGCCATCATGCATGCCTCTCTGCCGCTCGTCCACAAGATTTGCCCGCATAAGACGCGAAGCAAAGACCTTGTGTAAATGACGAACGACAACAGGGAACGTGAAGGGAGTCCATGAAGGTCGTAAAGATTTAACGTGTGACAAGTGCAAGAAAAAATTTGGTAAAAACTCAGTTCTGGTTGTACACCAAATAACAGTAGATAAAAAATGAAAATATGATGCATCCGGTTAGTTTGAAAAGAAATGTGTAGATCAATGCAACGCGATGAGAAAAATGCGAGAAGACGTCATCATGCCTCAAACTTCCAGTAAATTCTTCGAATAAATTTTTTATTTACTCCCATATTCTAGATCGAATTCGAAAAAGTTTCAATACACTGAAAAAAACCTTAGAGGCAAGTCCAACAAACGTGGACAGCTGGACCAGAAAAAAATAGTTTGCTGCCAAAGCAAAAACATTAGCAAAATTTAGCATTGCAATAGAGCCCAATAATTTTGCTGTGGCAGCAAAATATCTTTTTCTGATCCAACTGTTCACTTTTGTTAGACTTGACTCTAAGATTTTTTCAAGTGCAGAGCTTATTAATTTTATTTTAAGTTTAACGATCCAACTGTATGTATATCATGATTCTTTTATGCATTTTCACTTTATAATAAATGAATTAAATTAAAAATTAAATTTGTATTTGCGTCTTTTATAGTAATTCAAGTACTTTTTCTCGTAATCGATAAAATGCACAATTACATTAAATTTGACGTCTGATAAAAATCCAGTTTTTATAAATTTTTGTTGTTTATAAGAACAGCTGGAGCTGATTGTAGTAACATGCATTGAATAGTTTCTCAGAGAATAATCAGATGACGGCAAATTTTGAAACGAATGTTCACTTTAATAATTTATAATTTAATGCATGAGTATCTATTGACTCGATGTTACAAGTATTATTTTGAAGTACTGATTTTTAGATAAACAAAAATATTCCTCGAAGAAATCGTTGCTAATTTGACATTTTAAACAGATTCAAATATTGGCAGGAGAATATATAAACAGATAAATCTGTAAATTAATTGTAAACAACATGATCATAAATAATTTTGATGTCGTTCCTCGAAAACTGATCATGTTCTTGTTTATAGTAAAAACAAATCAGTTTGAAAGTTATTTCTCTCAATGTAACTATCAATCATTCAATGTTAGTAGAACTAAGAAGAAGGATACGTCGTTTTACTTCGGCACCAAAATGGATAAAAATGAGAAAAAATCCAAAGAAGTTAACTCGGAAATTAATTTAAGTGAACACGATAAAAAATATATTTGTGATATTTGCCAAGAGGCATTTACACTAGAATCAAGCATGACAACTCACCGAGGCACAATTCACAATAACCAGAAAGATTACGCATGTGGCGAGTGTGAAAAGAAATTCGAGTTCCGAAGTCATTTGAGTAGACACCAAATTTTGGTGCACAAAAATCGAGAAGATTCTGCATGCGACAGATGCGAAAAGAAATTTGTGAAAAAATCGAGTTTGTTTCAGCATCAAAAATTAGCACACAAAAATCGTGAAGATTTCAGGTGCAACAGGTGCGAGAAAAAATTTGAAAATAAATCAACTTTACTAAAGCACAACAAAATATTCCATGAAGTTTTCAAAAATTATTTGTGTGAAATGTGCGCGAAGAGATTTGGAAATAAACAGAGTTTGCTCTTTCACATTAAGAAAATTCACGAGGGTCGCAAGGATTCCACCTACAATAAGCGCAAGAAGAAATTAGGAGGTCAAAGCAATTTAATTAAACACCACATAAAAACATATGAGAGACGTGAAAATTTCGTTTGCGATAAGTGCGAAAAAATATTCAGACATAAATCTAGTTTGCTCTACCACCAAAAGACAAAACACGAAGGTCAGAAAGATTTCGCATGCGACAAGTGTGGGAAGAAATTTGCAAGTAAACATCATTTAATATCTCATCAAATAACAGTCCATGAAGGTCGCAAAGATTTCACATGCGACAAGTGCGATC